CTATACTTAGAGAGCTCGACGGCCGAAGACTTCGCGTATAAATTCTTAAGAACCGTATTCGTAAACTACGGTATACCGAAAGAGATCATTATAGACCGAGATAAGCTCTTTACGTTAAAGTTTTAGAAAGAGCTAATAAGACTACTAGTTACGAAGTATAAACTATCTACATTATTCCATCCCTAGATAGACGGTTAAATAGAGAGAACGAACTAGACACTAGAATAATACCTACGGATGTACGTAGACTACGGATAAACGAATTAGGTTACGATGCTATCGATCGCCTAATTCTACTTTAATAACTATAAGTTAGTAATAGGACTAAGTCTATTCTACGCTAACTATAGATTCCATCTAAGACTAGAAGATAATACCTAAGAGAGCTCGAACCCGAGAGTACTAATAAAAGCTAAAATAATAAAAGAAATCCACGAGAAATTACGAGAGACCCTAGTATTTATCGTAAAAAGAATAGTAATATACGTAAATAAGAAAAGGGTCGAGGGACCGCCCCTAGAGGAGGGGGACTCCGTCTACCTTTTACGAAAAAACATTAAGATAAAACGGCTAAGTGCGAAATTAGACTACGTTAAGCTAGGACTATTTAGAATTAAGGAAAAGATAGGAGAGGTTAACTATCGACTAGAACTTCCTAAGGATATAAGAATTTATGATATATTCTATATCTCATTACTTAAATCAGTACCGAAGAACGCTAAACTAGTTAAATTACTACCTTTAGACGAAGAAGTTATAACGGAGGAGTACGACGTAGAAAGAGTACTTAAAAGGCGCGTTAGGTATAGCACTCCCTAGTACTTAATTAAGTAGTTAGGATATAACGAGTTAGAGAATAGTTAGGAACTAGAAGCTTACCTTACGAAGGAAACTCTAGAGGAAGCTTAAAGGTAATACCCTAAGTAGTCTCGCTAGATAATATAGCTTCCTAATCAACCTATTCGACGCTCGGGGCGTCGGACTAAGTAAAGTTAGGCTTAGCTAGAGCTACCTCCTCGAAATTAGGTAGCTTATCGAAAACACCTAACGCCTACATCTTACGACGTAATATACGACTTAAAACCTCCTCCAATCGCTTAAGCTCGCCCTAGAAGGATACGTCCCCTTCCTCGGCTTCTATAATTAACCGGCGGAGGCGAGCGATTTCCTTTCGCTTCGCCCGTAATTTTATAACTAATTGTTTCTTTTATTCCCCTACTTTTCGAAATTCTTCCATCGAAAAAGTACCGTTATATTTTCGCTGCTTTCGGAGACATTCGGTATAAGAAGACGACTATTCGCGGTTATAGTAATAAATAACCCCGTAGTTAACGTACTCGATATAGGCCACCATTACGATGTTTTCTAAATTAGTAGAAATAGAGTCGGCGAGTTCGATACGACGCTTACTTTAAGTTTTCACCGGCTTTATAGATCGACGAGGTTTAGCTATACGAAAGGACTGTATAGTTAGCTACGAGGAATAAGGAAGGAGAAGGACGAGAGATAACGAAGGGGGGCGCGGCCTACCTTAAGTACGTTAAGGATAACGAACAGGAAGGAGGGGAGATGGTGTTAGAAACGGCCTTTATATAACCTAGAGCGCGGGGCGCCCGGAGGTAGGTCTGCCGGATGGCAGCCTAGCGGTATAAGGCTAGGTTACGTACCGTACGTGACTACCTAAAGGGGAAAGAGATGATATAGCGATATATTAGTATAGTCT